TGTACAAAGTTTAGGCTAACACTCACTGGCAATTCTACGGGCATTTATCACGGGAATCTTCTCGGAAGTGACTAAATCACGCTCACAGGACCCTGTAGGTACTCAAATGGCACGCCTGGTCTCCGGTTCGCTACCCCGCATTATCGGAAATATCTCGAATTGCCGCACATCCAACGCACGTCCTCGACAGCAGTCGCTCGGCCCTTGAGCTTTTCTTTGACTCATGGGCTTTAGTCTGATACCATAATTGCCGCAGCCTCGCTCTTGCGTGATATAGTAAGCACAAACGCTTATATCAATAATCGTCCTGGACGGTGCGGAATTCCCCGGGGTCATGCGGCGGGCATGATGAATCCGGGGGTCTGTACACATGGGAAATGCCGTGTCCGTTTTCGTGTTGGGCGATCCGAGGCGCATTGATGGCTTTAGCGAGCGGTTGCGGCGGCCGGCTCGCTTGCATATCAGGGACTTACGCGCGTTCACCGTGGAAAAATAGAACTTTCTTTGGTTCCCTGAAAGTAAATCACCTCCGTGCGGAACCGAGAACCAGGAAAGCTTCTCATGGGTCGTAGTCATGGTCACTGCATATATGTTCCCTCTGATATGTTTTGCACAGGCCGCATCTATATCCTATTTGAGCGTTTCTATATTTTGCACGCATAGAAACCCAAAATTAGGGCTTGAGAATGCCGTAGTAGGTTCGAGTAGAACTAGCACGCCTAACAAGTGCGTGTCTCCATCCGGGGAGAACGAATATAGGTCTATTTTTAGTCGTGTATCACCGTCAGCAACAGTTGGATTACATAATAATTCAATTACATGTGATGGCTTGCTAGTTATTAGTTATTGTATTCTGCGGTATGTCATTCAGTATATGTTTGTATTTGGTTGTCATTGTCCTGGCCGTGCTCTGTGGCATACTGGACAAAATGGAAACTCCTTCAGCCATAAGCGAATCTTCATTTTTTCCTACCTCATCTCTATCGCGCAACTGTTTCTCGAAACGTTATATTCTATCCTCAATATGTTAGATGCCTAAGGATGCGTGGTCTATTTTAGTAAGGAGATTTAGTCCCTAGCCGAGCAAGCATCCAACACTTTATAAACACTCATCACGAGTGATACTACCAGCATGCCATCAAATTCGTATCAAATTACTTCAGTCCGCACATACACAAGCCATGTTCAAAGCATCGAAAGAGAATTATCAACTAGGAGACTCTAAAGCGCCTACACCAACATTGTAAACGCTTCGCCTTACCCGCTACGCCACGCCGGTTAACGTAGGCCTCTTTGGGGGAAAAAGAGAACTGGAATGAACCGAATCGTCGAGGTTTATTGTAGCGTGGTCAGATAATATACTGTCCGCAACAAACGTAGGTGTTTGAAAAGAAAAAAAAACACGTATGTTCCAAGATTACATTAACTCTCTAAGAACACCAGGGAAACCGCTCAACCATGGCTTAAATAATGAAGCCGCTGAAAATGATCTGAGATCCACACCCAACGTAGCAGCTCTTTGATAAGTTTAATATAATCGACCCTGCTGTCGTTCTGTTGATAAAGCCGTCTTTATGGGCTCGGCATTCGTAGGTATACTTGTTATAACATTTTCTTTCTGCATCTGACTGACTTAAGAATTTCATTCCTGTTCGGTTTCTAGCATCTCCTGCCTTTTATCTGATAACCTAGAATGCGACCATCCGCAAAAGTTTTCTGAAAAAAAAAAAAAAGCTTTGAAAGAGAGAATATCAATTCAGCACTTAGTAAGAAGAAAGAATTTTGGTATTCTCAAGTATAATATAACAGATCTTCCCGCAGCACACCCCCGGATTGAAGAAGTAGCTCTTGGTTTATGTTCATTTCCTTCCTAAAGATCATTCATTCTAACTAAAACGCATCTACGTATTTTAGTAGGTCTAGAGAGCTAGAAGTAGCGATTATCCGGTGTAGAATCTACAATGGCTAAGACAGAAGCTTTATGCTAGCTTGCTAACTCTACGTGCAACGGTAGTAGCACAAGGAGCAGGAATGAGGCACAATGGTAGCCAGAACGAATCGCTGAGGAGCTAGTTCCCTGGGATCCATGCTTTATCATGTGTCTGCTCGTCTCTGAAATGTGGCTCGGATCTCTCGCCAGTTCTATCCACGTAATTAATTATAAGACCAAAGTTTCAATTGAGGATTGGTGAGTATCAATGAGTGGTAATAGGTTCATCCGTGACACTAAAAAACCCCCGAAAAACCACGAGTGCCCTCACAGGGTAGAATTTGAATCATCAGCCCTCCCCATCTACCGAGCGATCAAGTGAACTTGAGGGAGGCTGTGATCACTCAACGTGTCAACCTGATAATGGGGTGTTCAGTTGGTAGGCTGTCATTCTCGTCTCGAGGATGAATTTCCAAGCCCGCAGGAAAACTTGAGAGAAAATAGATAACAGTGATGGAATTTTTCATTTGTTTGTTGGGATCACAAATTTAACGGCAGGTCGCGGCAGACTCCAGGAAATGTATTCTATCTCTGGCCGAAAACGGACAACCTGACGGTACACTTATGGGATTCTGTCTTCGTAGAAATGGTTATAAAGATCTAAGAGGATTTGTAGAGATGCAAGGGTACTTATTTAGATGTTCTGAGTGATAAAGAACATCCTTTTTTGACCTTCGCCGATAAAATCATCACTGACGGTATCGTACTTGATAATATAGCGCAGGGATACTTCAATGGCATCCATCGCGATGTTTAGTAGAAAGCTTGCTATAGTCCGTGTACTTCGGCACCTTGACAGCGGAGTTGAAAGGAGTCGTTGTAAGTGACATCGCCAAAAGTCACTCCTGGATCTCCTTCATAGTGGAGCGAGCTGGTGGGGGCTCTAGTGAGTAACTATCAGAGAGACTAGTGGTGAAGTGGTACGTGCAGCAGCCAACATTAATTATTGCCGAGATGGCTGGCGGGAGGTGGTGGCTGATAGGACCATTTACTGGTAATGGCGCACGGCAGTGTGGAGGCATCGACTTCCGAAAAATCCCTTTAGATCACCGCTAAGCATTAGTAAGGTGTGGCGTGAGTGTGATGGACAGTACTGTAGATAGCCACTAATGAACTCCAAGCATGATCTTCTTTCGTGTGGACTAGAGGGATGGTGCCGGGATCCCCCCTTTTCCACCCCTAGAGCGACACGGCCCGAGGAAGACCTGTTCTCACTTTTAGCGCCCCGTGATATCATTGGAAGACTACGAAAGAATGATGCAAAAGAGCAGCAGCCTCGACCAAGTTCCAGACGGAAGTAGTGCCAGCACACATGCAGTGGTGACGTCATCGTTCACACATCTACTTACCATTTCCGGTAACCACCACGAAAAGTCGACACCTGAGTGGATAAGGCCATCAAGGGGTCTGGATACTACAAGCCTGATGAAAGTTTAGAGGGCAAGCACACAAACCCTAGGGATGAAGTCCATGAGATGCGGTGATGCACCCTATTCGCAAGCAGACTTTGCACGAAATACAGGAATGCCATGTCAGCCCGGTTGTCTTATGGACAGGCCAAGGAAAGGAGAGTAAGGAAAAAAAAAAGACTATATTCTGACAATGTCGGGATGCGGGATGCTCAGCGTCATACCCTTCATCAGCCATGTGTATGATGCACCACGCTGTGGATGGCTTCCTACACGAATGATGCCTCGAACACCAAGAACATCTTTACATGTGCCTTAAAAAAACATAGTAACGTAAAGCCCGCATTGTTTTAATATGGGGGTATCGTAGCCGAAGGCTAGCGTAAAGAATAGTAAGGCCCCAGGTGTAACTATGCCTCAGCTCTGTCTTAGAAAAGTAACATTTGTGGGTAGTTGAAGCTATCGTCCGGACGCATATGTAGGATCATGACATGAGCAAAAAGCAAATCCACGCTAGCCGTCGGCTGCAAGAGTGGACCGTAGCATCGGGGAAATTGCATTGCACTCACCGGACACACGAGGACCGTGCTGAAAACGGCAAAGTTCAAGTGGTGGGACACAGCATGCAGGATCCAGTGTCACGCACCTGGACGGTTTCATGCTTTCTTATTCAGCTGCCTTGGCCCTGGAACAACCGGCGACGTTAACGGTCCCTAAAAACACGAGTCTCGGCAGGGTCAGGAACGCCACATCTGCGGGGGGCGATCGGCATGTTGCAAACCAGGCCAAAGGCTTGACAGTGGCTTCAGTCTTGGCAGAGGTTCGGCGCACACTACCACCTCAATGTAGAAAACTCAAGCAAACCGCGACACCGTCCTTCATAGCCTATTGTGTTGCTGGAAGCAAGTGCTTGTGGGATGGGGTCAGCTCACGAACATTGTCGTCAGTCACTTTACGTTCCGATGGTCCGACACACAAAAGCGCGGAATGACGGGAAGGTCTCTGTCAAACGTGCTCTTTAACGGTCCGCGGGCAACACGCAAAGGCTTGTTTCAGCGCGAGGATCGCATGATTGACCCGCCAGACAGGTAAAGTTGCGAATTGGCTGTTGCGGCGTGGTCGGGTTTCGTAAGCTGCGTCAGACCGGAACAGGGTAAATATGCATTTCATGATTGGTATGCTGGTCTGTGTTGCAAGAATGTGCTCAAAACGAAGGACGCGTTTTGTGCAACGGAACCTTGTCGGCATTCTCGGGCATGATTATGCCTGGGTCTCGTCGCAGGTGTTTCGTGCAAACGGTCAAGTTGGTTTGAATGCTCCCTTTACTATGCTGCTGGAATTGCTAGGGTATTCTCTCCTCATGGCTCGAGGATTCCTAAAGCCGGTTTAGCGGTGCTTTCACAGTGACACGGTTCGACAGGCAGACGTAAGGACGTGAACTGTATTGCCGTGTAAATGCCTGACCCTATGTCACAATACCGGCAAGGAAACTCAGCCCAAATCCCTCACTCGCCCGTTTGATCCGAGAATTTTTGAGAGCAGGCAACCGTTTCAAAAAAGCAACACCGAGCACCCTTCCTTATCCCATCACAAGCTCCATTTTAACGGCTCTTGGCCGCAACCTTGGGAGCCGAACCCTTGGCACCCTGCTTGCTCTGGATCCTCTGGGTCTGGCCCTTGGCGGCGCCGGCGGCGTTCTTGGCCTTCTCAGCCTTCTTCTTGCTCTCAGAGGCGGCCTTCTTGTCCTTGGCGTCCTTGATGGCCTGCTGGCGGGCGGCGGCGCGGGCCTCGGGGCGCTGGGAGCGGCGCTCCTTGATCACATCGAGGGAAGCACCGACGATGGCGCGCTGGTGCTTGACGGTGCGGCGGGAGCGCTTCTTGGCAACCTCCTGTAGTTATTCGATCACGCATTAGCCCCTGCCGGTACGTCCTGCGCAACCTCTCAAAGCTTCGATGTCGGCGCGCCCTCATATCCCTCGCCAATTGCGGTGCGAATCCGGTGTCGACTAACCTCAGAGATACCCTTCTTGTGCTGTCTCCTGTAGAGGGTGGTCCAGGCAATGCGGCGGGGGTTCTTGCGCTGGAGGAACAGACTCTCGGACTTGCCGTTCTGGAAGCGGAAGATCTTGCTGTCGCCACGGACATAGAGCTTGCCCTGTACTCGCAGATATCAGCGAATGTGTCTCGATGCGAGCGCAGCGTGGGTGGTGCCGCCACTCGTCGGCCCTGGGCGCGGTGGAAAGGTCGCGGACGGTCGACGCAGCGCTGGGCGCGGGGAAAAGCGACGCACCTTGCCAGGGTAGATCTTCTGGCCGCTGAAGGTGTCGTCGTAGGTCCGCATGTTGACGGTTGTGCGATGATGCGGTACCCGTGGAGTCGCTGTGTCGTTAGTTCTCGATGTCGTCGGCGACCAGGTGTGCTAGAATTTGGGTAAGCGGACGTTTGTGCGGCGGAGGAACATCGGCCCGTCATCTGATTGGCGCGCCTTCCGCACTCCTCTCGCGAGGTCTTGGCGGCCGATCATCAACCTCACCTCCTTCTCCCGCACTGCTCCGTCTCCAATCACTTTCGTGTAAGATCCCGGAATTCGCCAATTATTTCTGCAAAACAGCAGCCTCACAACACATGCTTCAAATTTGCAGTTAAGGCTAATTTTTTTTTTTTGATTATCTACCGTATTTCGTTATCCTAAGTCTTTAAAAGGGGCGCCCTATTGGCGCGCATGTAACAACCTTGTTGTTACTTGGAAAATCGTCTTTATCTTTCTTTCATACTCGTCATTCGAACCAACATGAGATGTTCATCCCTCACTTTCGTCTCAATTCAAGAACCCAATCCCAATCTCTGATCGTGTGTACTCCCAATCATTCAGAGTTTCTCGATCAAGAAGAGAGCGCTCGCCTCGACCAAGTGACCGTGGAAGCCTAGAGAAGCGCATCAACTTGCCATCAAGAATGCAGTAAAATTCAAACTTACGCTCCATCGGCTTTGCCCTCAGTTCCCTCAGGTGCGGCGTGCACACGTTGACTCCAAGCCTCGTCTGGCAACGCACACAGCCCTCCACAACACACCACTCCTCGCCCCTGCACCTGCTTCCACAAGTAGGGCACAGCACGTAGCCACAATCCTCGCAGATGCTGTCCACTTCCATCTTTTCGCAGCACTCCCACAGCTGGTTGTCGGACGCGCAGCCACTGGCTGGGCGCCAGCATTTCAGAACGTCCGTCTTGGTCGCATAGGTCTTCTTCCGGACGCGAATGTGCTGTGGCCGGAAGGCGGGGTGTGACTTGATGTCGGGCTCGGGCAGGGCACGTGCGCGTAGAGCGAGGATGCGCGCCTTCTCGCGGACGGCAGGAGGAGTCCTGTTGTTGTAGCTCCGAGCCGGAGTGCTTTCCTTTTTTATGATTTGCTGCGGCGGAGTCTGTGGCGGCGTGGGCATCTGCATCGGAGATTGCTGGGTCGGACTGGAGGGCTCGGAGGCCGGAAGAGGCTCCTCCTTGAAGGTGGTCTTTGCGGGCTTCTTAATCGAGAAGCCTTCTGCGATCTTCTGCTTCCATTCCTGGAATTCCGACAGCCTTTTCTCCATGTAACTGTCGCCGGAAGCAGAGGACCGAGTTGATGAGCGCCGAAGCGAGGTGTCGTTCTGAGGAAGCTCCGGCGATGGTGCTGACGGAATTGGCTGCTCCAGCGAAATCTTCCGCGACGGTGCTGACGAAATTGGCTGCTCTGACGAAGTCTTCCGCGACGGTGACGTCTTCCGCGGCGGCGACATCTTTTGCGCCGTCGCTGCCTTCTGTTTGGCTGCCCACGAACGGGCGAAGGTTATGCCAAGGCCGTCCATGTTGAGCGAAAGCCGTGGATGAGGCGGTCTTTCGGCCGGGCGCTTGGGGTTGTTGCGCGTCGGGTGCAGAGCTATGGTTGTAGTGGGAGGTGGTGCCGCTTAAAAGAGAGGCAAGGTGCAAGATGGGAGGTGCTCTGTCACCGGTCACGGAAAGGTCACGGAAACGGCAGGTGCAGAATGCTACGCATTGGTGATTGAGTTAACCTCCACAGTCCAGCGCAGGAATCCCCCTAATTTAAAAAGCAATCCTTTCCTATAGAGCACGTGCCCAATCATCTGCATTCGATAGCTACCTATAGCGCGAATAGCCAATTAATTAAAGCCGCCGAGGGCCAAGAAACTCCGTTTTTAGGGGAACCGCATGCCTCAAACTTGACGTAACTTACTGAGCGCTTGGTCGAAAGACCAATGTGTTTCTGTGTGGTAAGTGAATGTACAACTGAACTATTGATTCTTGGCCATACGATCGGCCTTCGAACCTCGCCCTGTAGTCAAAGCGTGGCGATGCTAATGAAAAAGTTCTTAATTTGTGGTAACCGTCACACTTGTTCGTAGCTCTTGAAAGAAATACCTGACCTCCTTCATTCACCAACATTGCCTTCATCTATCGAACAGCAGCGCAGGTCCGCTGCAAGGGAATCTCGGTCGAGCAAACTATACCCGTAAACGCCGTGTATAGCCTACCAGGAAGAGGATGCTTCTATAGTCAACCGTTATCCATCACTCATCAACATTGGTAAGCCCGCTTTCTGCCAGCTAAATGTACTCTGGCCTCTCCGTTGTCTCCCAAACTTTTGGTCCGCACCACGCCTCGTTCGTTGAAGCGCTCATTGCGGGGCCTTGGCATAAGTCTCGGTCCATTCGCGGGCAGTGGCGATGGCAGCGTTCTGGTCCTCCTTCCAGCGCTGGGCAACGTCGTTGGCAAGCGGATCGTCAGGGTTGGGCGCACCAAGCAGGGCTTGAATAGAAAGCAGGATGGTTCGGATCTGAAGAGCCGGAGACCAGTTGCCTTGGGTTGCTTTAGCATCACGGCGACAGACGCCGAGCAGCCAGGAGGATCGACTCACTCTTCAGCACGTCAAGGCAGATACGGCCCAGCTTGTCGATATTGGGGTGGTAGATTTTGGTCAGGAAGCGCACCTTCGGCGGGGTCATGGGGTAGTCGTCAGGAAGGAATAGCTCGAGCTTGAAGACGCCGCCTGGTGTGGAACGCGATTAGCTTAGAATTCTCCTCTCAGGAATGTATATGCCCAAGTTCTCAGCGCTGACTGCCGACCGCCCAAACTTTCAACCTAGACGCTTTGTGCACGCGCATACTGCCTTGGCTCGGGTGTTTGGAGACGTACCTTCGTAGGGCGACTGCGAGGGACCGTGAACGGTCACATCAAAGTAGCGGAGGTTGTCCTCGTGCGGAACCGCGCTGATGCCGGGGACCCTGTTTTCGCGTGGTTCAGCGGCGCGCATGCAGCGAATACATGCGAGAGCACTTACGGCTCGGCCATCAGGCGCTCCGTCTCCTTCACGATACGCTTGGGAAGCGCCATGACAAACGATCAAGTCGCGATGTGGTGGTGGCGGCGGGATATGCGGCGGCAAAAGGATGTTTGAGGGGCGTTGGGCACGCTGCAGCGAGCGTCGCGTGGTGGCGGGGGGATAGCGCTGGAAAAGTGTGCGTGGGCGAGGTCTTGGGAGGGGCTCTTGGGCGTTTGCTGCTCTTTGGCAGGGCTGCGGCTCGTCATCAACCACCACCCCACGTCCACCGAGCTCGGCACTTCCCGCCTTGCATCACCCGCGCCCGCCAACGAACTGAGATCGCGCCCGCTGCCCATCGCACATCTCCCGCCCTCCGCACCCACCTATGCCCCAGCCCGCTGCGCTCCCGCAATTGGGTGTGGCACCGCGCCATGCACCCGCACGGCGATAGCTCACCCTTCGACAGCCCTACCTTTGGCCGCGATGCGTCCATCCGCGTCGACGAGCCCGTCGGCTCCGCGTCCATTTCGCCCAGCAGCCGCGACATCGTGCTCGCGTCGCGGGAGGGCCTGCACATCATAGATCTTGACAATCCCTACTCGCCGCCCCGCCATCTCGCCCATCGCACCCTGTGGGAGGTCGCCGACGTGCAATGGTCTCCCTTCGCCAGCCACGACGGCCTGGTCGCCAGCACATCGAACCAGAAAGCCTTGATCTGGGACCTGAACCATGCCAACCACCCGCCGCTCACCCTTCATGCTCATTCGCGTGCCATCACCGATATCAATCTCTCCGCACACCATCCAGACATCCTCGCGACCTGTGCCGTCGATACCTTTGTGCATAAGTGGGACCTGCGCACTCCAGACAGGCCTGTTTTTTCGTACGCGCAATGGGACGGAGGCGCTGCGCAGGTCAAGTGGAACAGGCAGGATCCTCATATTCTGGCCTCGGCCCATGACAAGTTGCTCTGCATCTGGGATGAGCGCAAGGGTGTGGAGCCTCTTCGCACGATTGAAGCTCATAGGAGTAAGATTTACGGCGTGGATTGGAACCGCATGCGCCAGGGCGGGGTTTTGACGTGCTCGCTGGATGGCTCCATCAAGTTCTGGGATTACACTCGCGACGAAGATGAGATGCTGGAGCGCGTCATCAGGACGCCCTTTGGCGTATGGCGAGCACGGCACACGCCTTTCGGATGGGGTGCGCTCGCCATGCCTCAACGAGGTGATTTTGATTTGCATCTCTACGACAGGCGGCTGCGTGACGGTGTCAAGCGGGATGCTAAAGTGCCGCCAGTCCACACTTTCAAAGGTCACAATGGCCAAGTCAAAGAATTCCTTTGGAGAACGCGCGGCGATGTTACGGATGATGGCTACGATCAACGTGAATTTCAACTTGTATCGTGGGGCAGTGACCGCCAGCTGAATCTGTATCGCATCGACTCGTCTATCCTTGGCTCCGTCGGATACAAAAAGGGTGAGCATACGCGCAAGAAGCTATTCATGACGCGGCAAGGTGCTCTATACAAGACTTTTCATGACGAAGCTCCCGTCTTATCCCCAAAAACGAAGGTGGCCGACCAGCAGCAGGCACATCCTTTTACTGCACCTAGCCAACTGAGTGCTCTCTTCCAGTCTGCCGGCATGAGTAAACCTAGCCTACCTTATGCTCAAACTGCGTTCCAAGGGCCTGGTGCCAGCGCACGGGATCGCGGTCTAACGTCGATGCAAGCTCGCGGGCTGACGACTATGCAAGCTCGCACCCGCGAAAAGAAGACCGTCGACAAGCTCACTTGGATGCAGGGAGTCAAGATTGGTGGACGCGATGGCCAATTCAACCGGCACGGTTCCAGACCAGATGTGTTGTCACCAGACCAGCAGCTGCTATGGGATTCGCCCGAGAGCCTCGGGGACGAAATCACGCATGTGGGCAGCAAGTTCAAGAAAGTCAAATTTGAAGAGGTTGAAATACCTCGCCGGACAGCAACTGTCACGCTAAACGGTCCTTGGGGCGAGAATGAGGCTCCAGTCTTCATGAGAATCAGCATACGTTTCCCACCCGATTACCCTGTTTCAGCAACTCCTCACTGTAGCATCGAGAAAACGACTTCATACATCTCAGAGTCTACAATCTCGAAACTGGACAGCGAGATCAAGGCGCTCGCCGAAGTGTATAAGAACCGCAAGAGAGGTTCTTTGGACGCCATCATCAGCTACCTTCTCGGAGAACGGGGCCTCGAGGAGAGCATCAGCTGGCTTTCGGATGGTGCTCTCACTGATAGTGGTGTCACGCAGGATGAAGAGAGCTCGAGTGACGAAGAAGACGAAGTGGGTGCAGATTTTGCAACCCCCGCCATGGAGATGAGCGGTACGGACATTCTCGGGCCCCTCAATGCAAACGCCAACGTTCCTCTCCCACGGCAATGTGGTGCCGTCTGGTCAAGAGACGGTCGTCTCGTCACCTTCTTCCCACCCAAGCCTGAACCAAAGCCTATGTTCTCGAACCTCGAGGCTCTGAGGAACGACAGTCGCACGTATAAGAGCAAGAGGATATTCGAGATGCTGGGTCAATTGAACAAAGAATCACCGGACCCTGGCAGGAAATCCTCTTCGGCCGTAGACAATCCAGATGACAGCGATTCCCAGGGTTCGTGGGAAACTTCATCCAGCTCTTCTTCGGGCTCGCCTGTACGGGGAGGCCTCTCCGGAATAGCACCACCAGTCGCATGGCGAGGTGGGCCGTTGAAGTTCCAGCGGTCTTCGCAACACTCTAGCGCTGGCTACGAAGTGAAACCTATTGCTCCTAAGCCTAAGTCCATCATCACCATACGCAATCTGGAAGATCTGCTTCCTGCAAAGAGGGAACTCGCCGAAAGATATGAAATCTTTGGTGAAGCCTCCGACGTTTGTTCGCACAACGCTGCGGTGGCGACAGACTGCGGCTACTCTGAGCTGGCCGATATCTGGAATCTAGTCGGACTAATCCTTGCGGACCAGGTTCCGCTAGAAGTCATGCAGCAGAGCTACCGTCGCGAGCCAATTCTAGTAGTGGCGAAAAGAACAGCGGTCCAGATTCGCAAGAAAGACAGTGGCCTTGACCTCAGTTTTGATGAGCCCGAAGCTATTGCCAAACCAAAACTGAAGAGTCGTGTCAAGTGGGGCTATCATCCGTTTGGCAGGGTGTTAGTGGAACGGCTTTTTGAGCACTTTGAGAAGCTTGCGGACAGCCAGATGTTAGCGATGCTCTCATGCATGTTTCACGAGCCAGCCGCGAGCGAGGGGGTTACCACGGGAATGATGATGCGCAATCCCCACGCGGACTTACATCTCTCCATGAGAACCCCTGCTTTTTCTTTGGATTACTTCCCGTCCAGAGAGGTCGCTGCGAGCCTGTTCAAACCACAGTTCTCCATTACGGATCAGTACGACAAAAACCACTTCCATCCACACATCGGACATGATGGGGGACTGTCCAAGTACGACAAGCGATTAAATACTTTTGGTTCTGCAGGGTCTTCAAATGGCCCATGGAGCGGCGATTTACCCAGCGGGCCGACGACTCCCTACTCAACCGGCAACACGCCACCTCCCACGTTCTCTCGTTCCACCACATTTCGCTCTGCATCCAGCGCTTATGCAAGCATGGCGTCATCTCCCGAGCGCAGCAAGCGTAGTAGCACACCTTTCACTAGTGCCTTAACATCCTTTTCACGACCTTTTCAAACTGCAAATAATTCGCCTCCAGCTCGTCAGCGGACTCGAACGTTTGATGGAGACCTCTCCACATCTGCACCAGAAAAGAGCAGCGTGACTTGGGGTCCCAATACGATATATGGAGGCGCCTCCACCGGCTCCAACTCTTCGTCTGTAAACCGCTCCAACAGCCACAAACGTAACCGCGCGACATCACAGACGGTAAATGAACCACAACAGCAACAGCGTTTTGTTTCATTCGATAGCATTGATGAGCTCGGCACCGATGAACCCGATTTCGACGATGATGAAGACTTCTATCCTAACTTCGAAGATGATAAAACGGATATCGCACCCATCGACCGCAACCCAGGCGGTAGTGTGATTCAAGTTACGCTTAAAAATCAGGACCAGTTCGACGATGATGGCTATCTGTCAGTACCGTTGCTAAATCAAGAACTTGGTTGGATGTACGCTGCTTACCGTGCAAACTACGCCAACAACGAACTGGCTGGATGGGGTCTGCAAATCAAGCGAAGCGAAGTCTTGAAATATAATGGCCTCACGAGCTATTGGATCAAAGATGAGGTCGAAGAAGCGCGTGAGGAGGATCTGGCTGTGGGCCGTAGCCAGGAGAGTATCGTCGCAAGGGTAAGTAATGCAATCAGCATTTTCCTCCCCAACTCATCTGTCGTACACGCTCCTCGTCTAACCACTGGGCAAAATCATAGTCATCAACCATCGTCCCCGACGACCTCGTCCTCTGCCCTTTGCCACTGCCGCCGCTCTCCGACCCCCCAACCACCAGCACGACCGCCCGCAGCTCTGTCACCCACACCCGCGCCCACACTCCGGATCCTTCCCATCTCCTCCAGCTGGCGGCCTCCGCCGGCACAAACAACCACACCAGCAGCAACGCCGCGAGCCAGCAACAGCATACCGCCGCGGCCAACTCCCACCACTACCACCTCCACAACCCCTTCTTCACCTACCACTCCCACACCCCCTACGCCACCCACCCCACCACGACGCCCCTCCCCACGCGCCCGCCCTCCATCAAGTCCGGCTCAACCGACTCGCCGCCGAACGAGAAGGCGACGACGAACGAGCACGACGGCGCTTTCGGCGGCGGGTGGCTACCATCAGCCACGACAACGACAACAACGGCCACGGCTTTTGGCGCGGGCGGCGCCAACGGTGTTGGCCACGGTGCCGCCGGCAACAGCAGCGCCGGCATCAGCAGGGTGCGGACGTGCATGGTGTGCTGGCTCCAGCTCGACGGCTTGTACCGCACGTGCGCTGAGTGCGGGCATGCGGTGCACGCCGAGTGCGGCGGCGAGCCGGCCGCCAGCGGGTTGCTGGACGGGCATGGAGAGGCTGGCGTGGTGTGTTGGTATTGCGGGGGGTGAGGCGGGAGTGGTGGGTGATTGAGTGAGCAGGCGGATGGGAGGGGGGAGGAGTGTAGGGTAAGAGGGAGGAAGAACGGGATGAAAAAGAGTACAGCTTTTTTTCGTTGTCTTGTATGACTTTCTTTGACGTATGTTATATGTAGAATAGGGTTTGGGGGATTGGAACAATTCTGCTCTGGTTTGTCTTATACAGCATGTAGCGTAGCGGGCTGGGGAAGAGCCTGGTTTTGTCGATGAGATAGATACCCATATCTTGTTCTTGCTTTCAGCCTTGCTTGGTGAACTTGTAGAAGTTACCCTTGGATTTTTTTTTTTTTTTGGCGACAGGTCAAGCGGTGGGAATTTGTCTCGCCAACTTTCAGCCGAATGCATGTGGAAGTGTCGATATCAAAGTGTTGATGTCAGAGCGGCGCTTTGACGTCTGTCCCCCGGTCCATGCACAGCTGTTATAGTCAAGCATCCATCAACTTAAAAGATCCACGTGAAAATACCCATGTCATCCACTTGTACATATGACGACAGGTGCAATCTACGGAAATTGAGGCGCTCATTCAGCTGTAATCGTTGAGATAGTCGACTCTTTTTTTTTTTTTTTTTTTGGCAGCGGGATAGATGCAATCCTTTCAAGCCATGTTGTCTCGACGCACAAATTTCACGTTCACTTCTAGAACATCAAATCATGAGGCACGCAACGGGCGTAAATTGACTAGCCATGCAAGTGAAACGCAAAGAACCAGCGCGCAAAAGCAAAGGCCATTGTAAAGCAGGTTGCGCCATTGATATGCCTCTTTCCTCCCAGAGTGAGAAGATTCCGGGAAGCACAATCTCGTTCAAGTCCTCAAACGGGGTATCTCAAGATGTTGCCACCCAGGACGAGTCCCGCTCTCTGTGGCGAGAACATGCCGTTAAGCCTTCCAGTTCTGATCCAGAGTCATATGTGCGATGTTGTCTGTAAGGTTGTCGGAGAAGAAAATCCCATTTGAATGCGAAAGAGCAGATCGTGTTGTTCAGCCCGTTCGATTGAATCCCGTTTTTTGTTTGATCGTAAACCACAAGAAACCAAACCGTTCCCATTCAGAGCTCCTCCATTATCCCAGAAGTCGCTCCGTCATGTCGCCATTGCGAGGTGTCGGTCGGGTTGTTTACGAGGTGGGGTTGGGGTTCATCTGCTTTTGTTAGGATCGGGGGAAGTTCCGTGGCGGTTGTTTGGCAGTGGCGAAACTCACCTTCCTCTTGCCACCGGTCATGGTGACGTTGACGAAGCGGCGAGTGTACTTTATCCTCTTAAGGGCGCGGCCCTTGGGGTTCTTCTTCTTCTCCTGGGGCTCGACCTGTTGTGTAGACTTGATCAGCATCCGGTTGTTCCGAAGTCCCTCTGATCCGACCCGTTGTGCATCCTCCATAGCCGCCTCCCTCGTCCTCCTCCTTTCACAACCTCATGTGATCCGTGGTTCCACCGCGGGGTATTCGGAGTTTATCGTACCTTGGGGGTCTGAGACTTGACCTTTCCGGCACGGGCGAGAGAACCGTGAACCTTACCCATGTTGGCGACTGTTGGGGATTGCTAACGACGTCGGTTTGACTGCGAAGGAGACGGGTGGCGAGTCAGCTTTCAGCGTCTTTCGCGGGTGTGCGAGCGGATGAAACGGCGTCGCAGCGGTGCAACGGGACAGCAGCGACGCCAGGGCGATGCGGCGGGTGGACTTACAGATGGGCGCGTTGGCGTTGTCGTCGGTGGTATGTGTCGTCGTTGGCGGGCGAGGTCGAAATTGGCGCTGTGGATGAGGAGCGCTCGCTTACTCGGCAAAACAGCGGCGCTACGCCCGATACGGCAGCCACGGCAGCCTGGGGAACCGGCCACGCCTTTGTCTGACTGAGCGTCGCACTCAGTAACCGCAAGTAGCTGTGTTGAGCTTATTGAATGTTATAAGACAAGGCACGAGCCTTGAGCGCGTGGCTGCCATCTCTCGTTTTTTTCAATATCTACTGCGAAATCGCATGATACTACACTTCGCAATGGGGAGCGAGAATTTGTCCCCGCCCATGAGCCGCGGATCATGTGCTCACGCCTCTCCAATCAATCTTAGCTCCGCTATCGCCAGTTATCTGATCACATCACCGATCATGCGCGAGCTCCCGCCGGACTACCTCTGACATACCACCTCCACCCCCTCTTCTAGCTCCTGCAAGCTCCTGCAGCTTTTATCCTCAACTTTTTGTTTCTAGCTAAGCTTCCAGCACTCTCTCGCCATGCATCTGGCCCACGCAGTCACTTCCGCTCTCGTCGCCGGCCTCGCCAGCGCCTCGCTCGTCCCCGCACCACAGCACATCTTCGCGAACCCTGAGGATGGCGATGTCTCTAGCTACCGCATCCCGACGGTCCACGAGTCGGCCGTCATGGCCCGGCGCATCTTGCACCTGAGCGGACTTGGCACGCTGTCGACGATTTTCCCAAGCAACGAAAAGCAGCACCAAGAACCGGGCACTGCGGAAAACCGGCCGTCGGACGTGGGTGGCACGCCGATCGGGCTGGTCGACTACATCGCCGACTGCGAGCACGCGACGGGAAACCCGACCATCCTGGCCATCGACATCGCCACGAGCTTCAAGAACGTCGCCGCCGGCTCCAACATCTCGCTCGGCCTCAACTGGGTCCCGCCCAAGGGCCAGGTCCGCTCGCCCGCCAGCCTGCCGCGCTTCTCCCTCCAGGGCTACCTCGAGGACCTCACAGCCGAGGACCTCGTCAAGCACGCTATCCCCGCCTGTTTCGCCAAGTACCACGCCGACGCTGTGGCGTGGTATCCTGGCAGCCCCATCCATTCGAGTCACTGGGTCAGGTTCGTCGTGCAGGAGGTGTACTGGATTGGTGGATTTGGCGATAGGGCGTACATTGGCTGGATCCCGGTAGAGGAGTGGAGAAACGTCACGAGGCAGGAAGTGCGGGATTGCGTGCTTCCTGGTGAGGAGAAGAGGGGCGGGTGGAGGGAGTGGCTGGGCTTTGGAAACAGCTGGGAGCTCTGAGAGTGCGGCAAAATTTGAATTGCGTGATGACGAGGTATGAGTGACAGGCCTGGATAAGGTATAAGGTATGCTGTGAATTAACGACCAGCAGACTGTTGATGGTAGTCTTAGTGTACAGACGTCGTTCCTTGACCATGGAAACTGGAGTTTGAGCGGTTATTGAATGCAGAGCAGATTGCCTGCAAATTTATCTGAGCATGAGATCGATTCTGTCTTTTACGTTTTTCCATTGTCTATACTGGGGTTTCTTGGAGTCTTGGGATAGTCACTTCTAGGCAAATTGCTCATCCAAACTTTTGAAGTGAATAGCATCCAGGTATGAAACTATTTCATGCTCTCATACGTCATTCGAGCTAGCAACGTCGGTCCGTGGTCTAGACACAGGCGTTTTGATAAGACACTGTTCGAAGGGTGTTGTAGGTACATATGATAATAGATGGGCTACGGACGGATGTTTTCGTTTACTCCATAGCATATCCCAAAAATTTTGAGCCCACCGCACCTGGTCATGGGTATTGCACTTACAAGAGGATTCCAAGCACGTACCTATATGTACATTCTCAATTTGCCACGCACGTCCTGATGTTTACTTCTACTGCACACTCAGGACTCATGGGTGCAGCGAAGCGATTCTCGTATGGCACAAGGGGCCCAAAAGTTTTGCAACGTATTATGACTATCTCTGCGATGCTACTATATTTAGAAGAGAGGCTGTTGAAGTAAGAAGAGCCGCACGTAGATTTACCCAGAATAGATAGCCTGTTTAGGCTTAGTCCCACCTCTGAACTGTACATAGTCTCTGCCAGTCGCGAGCCCCTTAGAGGGTCAATCCATTGTGGTTTCAACAGAGGTAAAATCATAATTTCTGACCCGCAGCTATTAGTTTCCTCCAGGCATGGTAAGCCCAGACGAGCAGTGTTTTAGTCTTTTTTGGTTTCCTCATCCAGCGCTCCGGAAATCACCGGTCAATCAACCTTTCGATTGAATGGCTTCTCTTGAAGGGCCACTTCCATATTCACAGCGCACTGGGGCCTCACCGCGCTGACCTCCCAGCCAATGCGTCGTAGTCTTCGCAGTGTCCCAATATCGCTTTGAATAGTTCCCTTACCGCGAAAGTATCTAGCAAGATGGTGCGAACGAGAACGGACATTCACCCGACGCAGTGGTAATATGTTGATCAAGGCGGATATGGAACAAGGGTCCTGAAAAGAGGGCTTGCATTGCACGAAAGAGGAAAATGCTGACAGAATCCTTTGTTGGATTTGGCCCCTACCTATATAGAGGATCAAGGCTGTCGTTTTAGAAGTCATCTAGTGCCGCTTTGGGATAAGCTTCACGTATATAACGAAGGACAAAAATAGTCATAAATAGAGCATAGCTATACGCGAATCCTTGAATCCTGCACAACATCTCGACGTCTGCACAAACTCGAGGGAGTAGATCGACACACTAACCTAGCCTAGCTCAAAAATCCTTCGGGCAGACGATCATCTCGCTTCCACAACCTCACGTCAATCCACCGCCACAACCCACTTAGCTTTCAGCTGATCGCCAAACAAAACCGACGCGCGGTCCCTATCTTTCTGTGACGCCGCACACCAGTCAGAACACGCGAGAAGAAAATCAAAACGCGCCAACGAAAGCCACATCCGGCTCACATGCCCCATCGCGGCCTCGATCTAGGCGCCAGTGAAAGGCCACTTACCTGCAACATCCTGAAGCTAACACACAAACCTTTTCTCACTCCGATGCCCTTTTTTCCCTCGACCTCGTGCTCATCATCTGCTGACCCTGTCAATCATTCGCTACTCCCTCCCTGCACACCGCGGCCCCATCCCATCCCCCATCCGCGCCCCTCCCCCCCTCAGCACCAATACATCGCCTAAACCCCTTTTTGACAACCGCATCCCCCGACCCCAACCCCAATCGGACTTGATCCCGACCAAATCCTCCCAAGCCCGTCCCGAACGGTCCGCCCCATCCGGCGTCATCAGCGCCGTCCCTCTCTATACCCGTAGGTTAATCGACCGATCGCCAGTAAATCCGGTCCCTTTCGCCCGGGAAGCTCCCTTTCCCCTCAACGATCACACGGCTCAATTATAGCCCCCAACAAAAAATAAAGGGACGAAGGCCGGTAATACTATCCTCGGCGGCGGAAGAGCCTCCGCTGCGTCATATCCAACTAAACACCCGTCCCACTACTATGTGGGGGAGGTCGGGGGATGTTCGTATCCTTGAACCCTGTAATACGAACAGATACCCGTATCAAAGAGCACGTGTACAACGAGTTTTGAACGAGTTCCGGAGGGCGAGTGTGAAATGGAGCGTGGGGGAGAAAGGAACGTCGGGGAGAGCAAAAATGCATGTGATAGTCGCAAACATGTATTTTTTCTTTCTTTGCTTTTTTTTTGTTGGATGCGACAGGGGTGTCGGGGGGCCGGAAAACGCGGGATAAGCTCTCCCCTTGTACCACCATAGTCGACTCTGTCGAGCACATCGGGTGGGAAAAGGAAAAAAACGTGAAAGATGCGTAGCTTGATAAAGAGTGATTCAGCCTCAGTCCAGGTGTTGGATGAGGAGCGGGAAGACGCAAAGCGTGAAAGCGATTGCGAGGCCGCAATTCTGGGGTAGAAACCATGGGCTGACAGAGCAAGCCTCGCTGTAGTCATATTCCTTTTTCTTCAACCCCCCCCCCCCCCCCCCCAAAAAAAAAAAAAAAAAGGGGGGGGGGGGGGGGGGGGGGGGGGGGATTAGGGTGGTTACTACCCCCCACCTCCCTCTAATATGCAAATAT